GTGTGTGTTGAATGCCTCTGTGCCCAGCAAGAGGTGGTTCCCTTTCCTCTCATTGCTTTTCCCTGAAATCAGCTTTCTGGATAGGAGTGTCAGTGTTGTTTGTCTTTTCAGCTGCTCCTTAGTCAGACCTTCCAGCTCAGATTTGTTGTGAAATGAAGCAGCCCATTTCGTTTCCTTTCCCTTTTCCTGAAAGGAAACTCTTAACTATCCTCTCTCTCGTTGGGGTTGGAAGGCTCACTGGGGAAATCTCTTGTTTCTTCAGTTGAAGCAAAGCACCTGGGACAACTGCCAAGAAGCTTGGCTGAAGCCAAAAGCTGGAGAATCCACCTCTTCATGGGTTTCAACCTTGTGGAGATCGGGGCAGATGCTGACAGGAGCATTCCCCTCAGTGGTGGGTTTGCTAACCGGTTTACTACCAGTTTGCTCATGTTCTCATGCGCGCGTCCAGGCGGGGTGAGTGGAGCCTCCCGCTGCCACCACGACGGGTTCGGCCGTTATCATCCTGTCATTCTCCAGCCAGCTGGGAATTCTGGGAGTTGTGAAGCCCACAAGTCTCCAAGTTGCCAAGGCTACTTACAGTTAGCTTGAATTTTTGCTGGTAGCCCTGAATCTGGTGCATTGTGTCCCTTCTTCTCTTAGGACAGAGATAACCTGGTGTCCAAGCACGGCTATCTTTGTTCCTGCAAATGGAATCCATGACCCATCGACTCCTCAGGGTATTATGGGTGACAGACAATATCTCTGCTCAAGCTGGAGAAATGGCTGACAGGCAGTATCTGTTCAACAGTGGAGCCTCCTGAGGCAGATTTTCCTTAAAAGGAAATAGAGCAATTTGTCCTCTGTGCTTGTATGAAACAGAGAGTTTTAATCAGAGGTGGGTTGCTCCCGGTTCGGCCTAGTTCGGCCGAACCGGTAGTGGTATTTTTCCCTGGGTCGCAGAACCGGCAGCGACCCAAGCTTGCCACACCCCCCCCCCCCCCGAACTGGTTGCCTCGCCGCCACTGATGTCGCCGCCATGTTGTTTTGTAGTGACCGCCCGTGC